AAACACTTTAAAAAACTCTGAAAATGGAATACGAAAGGTGGATTCTTGAGGAGGACATATTGGACTTTCAGTTTGACGGTAGAGGATACCGTCGCCAACTAGTGGTCTGGAGTGTGCAACGCTTCAGATTCGAACGGGAAGCGGAAGTTTATAAGCGGATGTGATGTATCGGAAAAAAATAGTTCTGGGATTTACAAAATGCTAAATAAAACAAGACAGGAACGGTTTTTCTTCACAAAACTTTTTTTGGAACGTCATTGAACAACGCTGACGACCCGGTGAGTAGCATATTTTAAAAAAAGAACGTTTAAGGTTGTTTTAAGGACATTATCGGACATGCACTATGGAAGCCATTCTGAAGCAGCCAGGGGGGGATTCTGCATGAGCCAAATAGCAGAGACAGGACCAATCGTCAAAATTTTGGTGTCGATCATTCGATTTCATCCTGGACACTACAGAAAATTTTCCTTTAAATTTTTTTTGGTAAAATTAATTGGTGTAGATCAATGGATAAATGCAGCAGTCCCCAGGAAAAGAGGTGATGGTTAGAACACCTTAGGTAGAATTTGTATGTATAGGTTTGATGAGATTTAGTCTTAGTTGCCAGCTGATTTATATCTGTGAAGGTGGTAGGCAGCGGCGGGCGGTACATATAGGCCTTTAGTGGGCACCAATATGCATCTAATTACCAGATAAAATAGCACAAAAGCATGAAAATAAAATATATCACTGTTACTAGAGATACTGATTATATATATACAAAATTCATCCTTCTGTCTTTGTACAGGAAGTTTTAGTATCTCCATTTAATATCAGCCACTGGGGCCAGAAAAAACCTTTACCAAAAGTGAATGTAAAATGCAGATTGTCACTAATTTAACTTGGCTGTAAACATTTTGGTCTGACTGACCAATCAGAGGACATAAAATGCTGATGTTTGGGTGGCCCCCTAACTGGGCCAGTATGGGGCAAGTTCGAAATCTGATTTTCTGAAAGAAGACTAAATCTAAGTCAAACCTATACATGCAAATTCAACCTAAGGTGTTCTAACCATCACCTCTTTTTCAGGAGGACTGCTGCATTTATCCATTGATCTACACCAATTAATGTCACCAAAAAAATCCCTTTAACTTTAATCTTGTCTTGTTGTTTTATACACTTTATAGGTAGCGAGCTAAAGTAGACCCAAAGTACATCAAGGCTTTGTTTCAGTGTTCCTAAAATGTAACAGAATGGAAACAGAGTTCACTCACCTAAATACTATAGGAAATCTTTGATGGATATTTGAATAGGAAAATATGATTACCAGTTATAATAAAATATCATCCTACAAGTACTGCAACTAAAATAAATAACACTCTAAATAGCGCCCACCTCCAGAACAAACCTAGGAAAAAAGGAAATCACACACGCTCAAAGACAACTCCCATTGAATTACAATCATCTATATAGAAAACACTTAATCTCTGTGGCAGAGCTGTGTTTAGACCAATGCAACCAGTTGACATGTATCTACAGTACTCAACAATGCAGTAAATCAGGTTTCTTCAACCTTTCTAATCCAAAGAGCCATTTTACTACAAGCCCTACTAAATCAAAGCATTTGAGACATAACTATTGCATGACCTTTAAATAAAACACAACCTATTAATTTTGTTGAATATCTGCTATAGGATTTTTTTTTGCCATTTTATAAAACAACATTTTGTTTTTTTTTATCTTTTAACCATTTAGTACCAAGTGCATCATATTTGAGTTTTTAAGACCTCTATATCATCAGAGTGATATTTTTGTTCTTAAAAAATTGTTCAATCTGACACACACAGTGAATAAACAATCCATCATAGATTGTACAGAAATATCCAATGTATCATATATGGCACAAACAAAATCTAATTTAGTGTGTTTTTTTTTTTTTTAGCCAGAATTTTTAATAGTTAAAAAAAAAAAGTTTTAGTGTTGAAAAATAAACATTTCTTAAAAAGTAAGCATGGGTTAAATTTTTTATGGACATTATGTACAACAATGAAAAGTTTCCAAGCCAATGACGAGAAAAATATATCTAACAACATACAATACTTCTGTTTTGAAAATTCTGTGTCAATATTCTTAAAAATTGAAAAAGCCTCTAAGATTTGTATATATTGATATACTATATTCAAAACCAGTAGTTGGTCCTTTTTTATTTTAGCAACTATTAAGAGACCTTGTACAGAGTCCGAGTAGCCAATTAAAGCTATAGAGGTGCAAGTTTCAGGCCCCTGATATATACTCATAAGATGACACCTAAATATACAAAATAGTTCGATAACTCTGAATTTAAAAGCTTTGTAAAAGGAAATAAACAAAAAGGCAAGGGGAGGGCATAAAGGCAACTCAACAGTAGTTCTGCATCTCATAAGGCATGCTATTTGAATGAGCAGAGGCTATTTTTCAGGTGGCTCACTATATGTAAGGTATTGTCATCTCATGGATGAAACTATTTTTTTTTTTATCTATCTATCTAACTAAATCAAATGTTGTGTAATTTTCCTGATCATGTGTGTGTCATTGAGAGCCAAACAGTTACATCTGTTATGTTGACCAACTGATGAGCAAATTGGACCAGTGACCTTTTTAACTGCATGTGCATACAGCTCTTGTAAGGGTAAGCAGCAGTTCACCGTCAGCCGTTTTTGTTAAATAGATAGACAGACAGACAGACAGACAGACAGACAGACAGACAGATGATAGATAGATAGATAGATAGATAGATAGATAGATAGATAGATAGATAGATAGATAGATAGATAGATAGATAGATAGATAGATAGATAGATAGATAGATAGATAGATAGATAGATAGATAGATAGATAGATAAAATTAAGAGAATGGTTTTGAAGAAATGCATACAGTTGGAAAGAAGGTTATGAATGTAGGTTAGTGTTTCGGATTGATTTTAAGTCAGTAGTGATGGTCTTGAAGCTCCTGAGCACCCACCACTGCTGGTAGGAGATCCTGAGCTTGAGGGGAGTACAACATTTGGTGATTTCCAAGAAACATCCCCACTAAATTTTGTAACAGGGTTCAGAGGCTTGCATTATGTATACTATTGTTCTGAGTATAAAAAGATAATAAATTAACACTTTTACCCCCAAGATTGAATAATAAGATTAAATAAAAAAAATAATAAAATAGAAAAATAAAAAAAACCTTTTTGATTTATTAGCTATATAATCAGGTATATCTGGAGCTACTGTAATCATCAAAGCTATGAGCAGCAAGAAATACAGCTGGTGAACTTTAGAGTGTGTACCTGCAGATTGTGTGGAACAACCTTAAACAGACATATAGCAGCTTAGCAGGGAGATAATGCCTAAAACACTGCATTAAACACTTTCTCTGTCTCCTCTGAATGAAGGTCTATATAGGTAATATTTAGGAGTTATGATAGAAAGAACTATATGTTATTTCTGTGATTCTTAGTTTTTCTATCTATCTATTGGACAAAAATGGCTGACGGTGAGCTGCTGCTTACCCTTACAAGAGCTGTATGCACACACAGTTAAAAAGGTCACTGGTCCAGTTTGCTCATCAGTTGGTCAACGTGACAGATGTAACTTTTTGGCTCTCAATGACACACACATGGTCAGGAAAATTACACAATATTTAATATATATATAGATAGATAGATAGATAGATAGATAGATAGATAGATAGATAGATAGATAGATAGATAGATAGATAGATAGATAGATAGATAGATAGATAGATAGATAGATAGATAGATAGATAGATAGATAGATAGATAGATTGATTGATTGATTGATTGATTGATTGATTGATTGATTGATTGATTGATTGATTGATTGATTGATTGATTGATTGATTGATTGATGTAAACATGTTTCTGCATGGGATTTTTTGTCCAAGTTTTAAAGGCATTTTTTTGCTGGAGAACTTAAAGGGAAAAAAATCCAGTATATAATTACACAGGTTAAAATTTCAGTGTTGTAGAGTCAATGTCTAAAAATAAGTAAGTGGTTGTTTTTTAGGCCCCTTTTTAATGTTATCTACAAACTAAGATATCATGTCATACTTTTTAACCAATAATAAATAGAGAAAATTATTTAAGTGAAAAGGTAATAAACATTCTGCTGCTGTTGAGCTTTTAAATGTGATGCCTTACCTTACCTTTCAAACTTAACCTTACAATTACTCTATCAATGTCACGGTTTTTGGTTCTGTTTAAGTTTGAGTTTGCATTGGTTTTATTTCCATTTTGTGTTATTCTAGTTCTTTTTAATAGTTTTTGAGTTCTTATGTATTTATTTTTAACCCTTTGTTCCCGTCTTGTGTCAGTCTCCATATCGTAGCTTCCTTCTATTCTTCTTTCCACCTGTTACTCGTCTGCCATTTAGTCCTCCCAGTGTTTCTGTCTCCCATATATAACCCTGTTATTCAGCCGCTCTTTCCTGGTTCCTCATCACGTCTTGGCTTTTTGCTTCTGTTGACACCCCTTTGGAAATCAAACTGTCAAGAAACCACCTCAGCCTTCGTCTCTGCATTTGGGTCCTTCAAATCACCACTCAACCCGACAATTAATTTAAAAAATCCGACACAAACACAAGTTACGTCCTCAACTCTTTTTTATTTGTAAAGCACATGCAAACAAAGAAGTCCAATGTATTACACTGTAATTTCCAACACAAATGTAAACGTCAAAAAGGCTTAACACGTCCAATTTTTTTTTGAATGACTGACAGTTGTAAGTTGTTAATAAGCTCTCTAAAACTGAAAAAAAGAAGGATAGCCTATTAGGAAAGTTTCAGGTAATTTATAAAGGCTAAATTTAAAAAAAGCAAACAATCATGTCAGCTACTTAAAAGGATGAAAACTAAGCTAAAGTAATGTAAAAGAAAAAAAAAAGGAAAAAAAAAAGAAAATTATATTCACATCGAAATTTATTTCTGACTGAATGTTTGAGGACAGTGGCCTCAATATTTAAATCTCATAAGACTTAAGCTTCCATCCAATTGAGAGCCATGATTTCCTGTATTGGGTTTATCGCTGCCCCCCAGCGATAAACCCCGTTAGGGTTGTTCTTATGACAAGTTCCGTACCAGTAAGCCCCCAAGTAGAGCTTGGCACAATTTCCAGTAAAAGTGTCCTGATCTTTGTCAAAGGTACTAAACTTCTGTCCATTGTGAAAACTTAGAGAGTCTCCTGCAAGATAAAAAAAAAAAAAAAAGAAAGAAAGAAATAACATGAACCTTGAAATAAATGAGAAAACATTCAGGTTAAAAAGTCTTTGCATTTAACCGTTTTTAGTTTATATCTCAAAATTAAAATAAATGTGAACTAGTGACTTTTCACGACCATAAGGCGCACCGTACTAAAAGGCGCACTCTCAGTTATGTGTCCCATTTCTGTATTTAACACACACATAAGGCGCACCGGACTATAGGGCGCATTTTTTATATACAGGTACATGTCCTCTACTACCTTTAAATACCTCTACTGCGTATTTAAAAATACAGCGGGGGCAAAACTGAGTATGACTGTGCTTTATTCATGTATTTATTACAAAGTATTAATCAAACCTGGCAGCTGGCCGTGAGACAGACACATCGCAGATGACACAGCGCTGTGATCACTCCTAAATTAACTTAAAATCCTGAAACCTGCCGACAGAATATGTTCGCTTTTATTACTGGTATCCTGGTGCCTGCAGTTTCAATTATTTAGATGAAAAACACCTGCCAGCAGCCGCGGTGAACGAAAGGATTTCTGCTGTCGGTGCACCGCTGGTATGTGGGGGTCTGAGCGCCTCCGACAGAAATAGATAATCTGGATGAACTGACTGCAATTATGAAGTTTTCAGGTGGACTTTCTCACTTAAAAACATATTTAATCTACTTTATTCCCACTGATCACAGCAAATATAGCTGCAAGATTTAGATTATTTAGATGAAAAAACACCTGCCAGCCACCGCGCTGAAGAGGAGGAGACCCGCCCACAGGCTGCTGTTGAATTAAGTTTTCAGGTAGAAAAATAGAGCGGGAGCAAAACTGAGTATGATTGTGCTTTATTCATGTATTTATTACAAAGTATTAATCAAACCCATCAAAGTCATCATCCTCTGTTTCTGAATTAAACAGCTGCGCTAAATCAGACATGCCAGTTTCCCCTTCTGCGCTGTCAGTCACTTTCCGTGCAGCGCAGCTCCTCAGAAATAATGCCGGCTTTTGCAAAAGCTTGAACAACAGAGCCAGCAGACACGTTAGTCCATCTACAATCCATCCGCAAACTGTGGCGTAACTTGCCCGGCGCTGCCTTCCACTTATCCTGAAACTGTGGTCTCCGTCTGTCATCCATCGCTCCCACGCCGCTCGCAGCCTTACTTTGAACGGTTCCCACCAATGTCGAGCGGTTGAAGTTCCTTTGTCAGACCCCCCGGGATAACGGTGAGCACAGCGTTCATTGATTCACCTTTTTTTTCACATCGGCTGTGAGATGGGCACGCAGCGATGGTGATGCGTGGAAAAAAGCACCTGGTCTCCTCACATAGGCTACACCTCCCTCAGCCACGCTTTCATCATCTCCTCTTTCATCAGAGCGCTGTGTCTGTCTCGCTGTCAGCTCCCAGATCAGCTTCTCTGATTGGTTGATGCGGCGCGTCCAGCAGCAAAACTTAAAATTTTCCATCTCGAGCTGCAGCAGCGCGTTGGCGGTGCATCAGATGCTTAAACGATCCCGACGTGCTGCACCTGCGGCTCAAAACGCGCTGCAGGACCTTTTGCTGCACCTATACGCGCGTCAACCATTTACTTTGCATGTAAACTCGCTGCTTCTGCTGCACCTGCTGGGTCCGGTTCACACCGATGTTGAGCGGTTGAACAGCGAGCACAGGGTTAATTTGTTTCCCCATGTTTTTCACATCAGCTGTGAGATGGGCACGCATGGAGTTACAGATTAATGGTGATGAGTGGGAAAAAAACACCTGGTCTCCTTACATTCAGCCACTCTTTCATCATCTCCTCAATGAGGTGGTCTCAAAAGTCGCAGTGACAACACACATAGGGCGCACCGCACCAAAGGGCGCACCGCACATTTTGAGGGGAAAAAAAGACGTTTAAGTGCGCCTTATAGTCGTGAAAATACGGTAAGCAAATTATGAGGTGTGATTAAAGATCAGTAAAAATGCAGCTGTTCTATAACTCGCCTCAGTGGTATTATGGAGAACATTAGTGAGCAAGCAACATCTTCATGGAAAGCACTAGGAAGCAGTTCAAAGTCTATAAAATTTAACGTCCTGCATTGAAATATCCCTAAACATACAGCAAGAGCTGCACCAGGTGTCCAAGTGGGCTGTTCAACTAAATTGCTCAGGCGCCAATAGTTATCGACAGCTCGAAGGGCCAGATATCAGTTAATTACAGTCACTATGTACAAAAAATGGCAGTATTAGACTGACTTGTTATCTCTAACAAAAAATGTTTAAGCCTAGTGATAGTCATAGTAACTAGACTCATTAAATTTCAAGAATCAATTCAACCTAACCTGGCCACTAGAGGGTTGTTAAATAACAGATCAAACTTTGGTAAAGAGGTGCTGGGTGGTGCTCCCTCAGTCAGCTGCATGCGGTAATAAACCTGAGTGCTCTGTATGCATTAAGAATCTTGCTCTCCAGGTTAACTAAACTTGAGCTATTTTGCAGAGAAGGATGTTTAAGGCATTCAGTCAGTGGATGTGCAAATTTTGTAGAGACAGTTCTCAAAATATAGTTCATTAAAGATTAACCAAAGCTCTACAAAATGAAGGATCAAGGGGGCTTAATACAAATACAATGTATTTGTGAAAGAAATCTCAGTTGAATGTAACAATCATAGTAAATCTAAACCATGAAAAATATCTTGTGTTGATTAAAGAAGAAAGCAATAACATATCTTCCTGCATCGTAAAGAGCTGGTACCCACCTGCCCCACCATCACTGAATCCCGATACTTGCAGAGTATATCCCGCAGATTCTGACCCAACAGAGAAAGAGGAGTAACGAGCATGAACTTGATTTCCTTCAAAGTCCTCCATGTCAACCAGCAGTTCATACCTTTTTCTGAGACTGAGCTGGTAGAGATTTTCAAGACCTAAAAACAGAAACATGGAGAAACTGATCTCTCAGGCTGTTCATTTGGTTTGCTGGTTCTTTTTTTTTTTTTATCTCCATACCTATTAGTTCTAGGTCTCACCAAGCCAGTACTCTCCAGCAGCATTTCCAAAACCTGTCTTGTATTGATCCCAGGGCCTGTAGAAGTTCACTGAACCATCCATCCTCCTCTGGAACACCTGCAGGGAGGTAAAATAAGTAACTCGCAGAACACCGCTGATATGTTACACTAAGAACAATATAGAAAGTATTGTTGCATTTAGATTTGATTAGATTTGGAACTATTTTAGATCTTCTGGTTCTTTCTCTAATTTCAGTTCCAACAATCTGATCCAGAGTTTGTTTTGGGAACTGTTGAACTGAGAATGAGTGTTGATAGCAAAGCACAAACTAGCTTGTTAGGAATCCAGTTTCTGTGGGTTGTTTGTGTGTTTTTCTCTCCCTCCACCACCAGGTGCTGCCCTGTTCTCGTTGGCCTTCCTGTACACCTGCTACTCGTTGGTTCATCAATGAGGAGTATTTGAGTGGCGGACTGTCACTACCTCGATGCCAGCCAAGCTGAGTTTAGCTGAGTCTAATCTGAGCCTTTGATTCTCTGAGTCTAACTTCGTTTTTTGTCTTTGCATTTTCGGCAGGAAGCCTTCCTGTGTAACTGGATGCCTGGCCTTCTCCCCCTGGAAGGATTAACTGAGTTGACACTGAGCAGGGGAAAACTTCCACACGTGACGTTCAAGTCCCTTTCGGAAATCCAAGTGACAGTCTGCTCCATTGCTCCTCAGGGTCCAACCTATGTCTAAATGTCCGCTTTCCAATGAGTTTCCACTTCTCTGGATAAACCCACACCAACTGGATCAAGGAAAGACAAGAACCCCCTCAAACGTGAGTCCCGCTTCCACTGTGCTAAAGACTTAATCAGTTTTTCCTGCGGCCCATGAACTGATCACTGTGATCACCTCTCCAGATTTTCCAGTTCCGGTTCACCAGTTCACTGAGTTCCTACTGTAGTTCAACTCCTGTACAGTCTCCTCAATAAACCTGTTAAACTTTTCCCCTGGTTCTCTGAGTGGTTCTCCTCATGCGGGTCAGATCTCTTAAATCTATCATGACACAGCGGAGCTGGAAGCATCGATAAAGATCAATCAGTCAGAGGATGGGATGAATCTAAAAGGTTTAGATTCTCACTGTCCAACGTCCTCCCAAACGATCCATGTCACAGAACACCTGCAGAGACACAAGCATGAGGTTCATCTTTCTTGTAGCTACACTGCTGCTATGTTATGTATTGTAATTAACACATTCATTCAGTCTGTGCATACAAAGAAAGCTAGAGTGAAAATCTATCAAAAAATAGTTTCATCCATGAGATGACATAACCTTACATATAGTGAGTGACCTGAAAAATAGCCTCTGCTCATTCAAATAGCATGCCTTATGAGATGCAGAATTACTGTTGACTTGCCTTTATACCTTCTCTTTGCCTTTTTGTTTATTTCCTTTTACAAAGCTTTTAAGTTCAGAATTATCCAACTATTTTGTATATTTAGGTGTCATCTTATGAGTATATATCAGGGGCCTGAAACTTGCACCTCTATAGCTTTAATTGGTTCTTTGGACTGGTTTTGAATATAGTATATCAATATATACAAGTCTTAGAGGCTTTTGAATTTTTAAGAATATTGACACAGAATTTTCAAACAGAAGTGTTGTATGTTGTTAGATATATTTTTCTCGTCATTGGCTTGGAAACTTTTCATTGTTGTACATAATGTCCATAAAAAATTTAACCCATGCTTACTTTTTAAGAAATGTTTATTTTTCAATACTAATTTTAACCCTTTGAAGTCTAAACCATGAAAGAGTAAGCGAAAACATATATATTTTTTAACTATTAAACATTTTGGGAAAAAAAAACCCACTAAATTAGATTTTATTTGTGCCATATATGATACATTGGATATTTCTGTACAATCTATGATGGATTGTTTATTCACTGTGTGTGTCAGATTGAACAATTTTTTAAGAACAAAAATATCACCCTGATGATGTAGAGGTCTTTAAAAAGTCAAAAATGAGGCACTTGGTACTAAATGGTTAAAAGATAAGAAACAAAATGTTGTTTCATAAAATGGCAAAAAAAAAAATCCTATAGCAGATATTCAACAAAAATAATAGGTTGTGTTTTATTTAAAGGTCATGCAATAGTTATGTCTCAAATGCTTTGATTTAGTAGGGCTTGTAGTAAAATGGCTCTTTGGATTAGAAAGATTGAAGACACCTGATTTACTGCAATGTTGAGTACTGTAGATACATGTCAACTGGTTGCATTGTTCTAAACACAGCTCTGCCACAGAGATTAAGTGTTTTTTTTTTTATATAGATGATTGTAATTCAATGGGAGTGTCTTTGAGCGTGTGTGATTTCCTTTTTCCAAGGTTTGTTCTGGAGGTGGGCGCTATTTGGAGTGTTATTTATTTTAGCTGCTGTACTTGTAGGATGATATTTTATTATAACTGGTAATCATATTTTCCTATTCAAATATCCATCAAAGATTTCCCATATTATTTAGGTAAGTGAACTCTGTTTCCATTCTGTTACATTTTAGAAACTCTGAAACAAAGCCTTGATCTACTATGGGTCTACTTTAGCTCACTGTTGTCGGGTAGAGTGGAGGTTTGAAGGACCCAAATGCAGAGATGAATGCTGAGGTGGTTACTTGCAAGTTTAATATCCAAAAGGTGTCAACAGAAGCAAAAATCCATCCAACTGCTATACTTCAGTATAACCACAGATTTGTTTTAAGTAAAATGTTTTTTTCTGTCGTCCAAATCACTGCAGCAGGGGTGGCAGATTCAGTTTGCACAATTACTTGTTTGTATCCCTACGTTTAGAATAGTCTGATATTAAAATTGCTGAAATGTATGACATTAAATAAAAAACACGGTACTAAACTGAATTTAAATTGGAATGACAGACTGAGCTTTGTTGGGTTTATATTTACTAAGCCTAACTAATAAAATACAGCTCACATTATATTTTCATAATCACATTTCCCTCAAAGAGAACATCATGAACGTACCTCAACAGCCGAACTGAACTCAATAGGATAGATAGTGTAAACTCCACTAGCTTGGCTGCTATCATAGTTATAGATGTCGCTGCAATCTAGAGGAAGCACAAGAGGCGATACGCTGTCCCATAGAGGAAGCAGGACAAGAAAGAGAGACACCTGCAGCTGAAACAAAGGATATTTAAGTAGGTTATTTACCAGTAGTTAAACTTTAATAATTTGGATCTTTACAAGACAAGAATAGGAACATAATAATAATAATGCCACATTTGTCTTAAACCGTAAGAAATTTTACAGATTTTGTGAAACATTTTCCTCATTTGTAAAATGTGATAGAAACTGCTGGTATTGTTTGCTAAGGAAGAATAATTAAACAGTGCAGAGTAAACATAATTAAGGCTGTCAAAATACTACAATGTAGGACCAATACTTATGATAGGAGAAATTTCAATGCAATTTTAAACCCCATTTTTAAAGGAAAATTTACTTCTGCCTAAAAACATAAATATTGTTATTTACAATATGATACATTTAACTACAATTACTGAATCAGGGCAAAACCATTTTTAATGGCAATAGAACTGTTGGAATCACATCCCGCACCATAAGGTCTTAGAGAAATACTGTATTTTTACCTCAACAAGAAACCTAGCAGCTATCAGGACAGACTGCAGCTTGTGTATCACACTGAAGTTAGAGTTGAGGATCCCTTCATTCATCTGCTTCAACTAAGTCAATGTCATTAAGACAAGGCAGAGAGGACCATAATGTGTAGTTATCTTAGCGCTTGTTACTGGCTTAATTATTCATTCCATTCACCTGTCTAGCTCAGTCCATTTTTTTTGTTACCGTTCATCTGATCCACCGGCTCCTGCATCATTTTAAGCTGGCTGCTAACAGTCATCAGAGCCAGGTTATTTCCCTTAAACCAGTGGAGAAGAGTGTTTTAAGCGTACCTTAGTGTTTCTGATTACCTGATCCTGTTCTGCCTCTCAACCACTGGGCCTGTCTTTTCCTGTTCTGAGCCATGTGTCTGACCTGGCTTCGGACTCCTGGATCTCTGAGCCTGCCAGTTCGTGTTCGATCTGTTTGCCTGACCTGTCTTGGGACTCCTGCTTGTTATCAGTTCTCCGGGGCTACAGTACACCATCTGGGACAGTCTGGGCAGCGCCCATTGCATCTTGTTGGCAGCCCACTGGCTGGTTCCTACCTAATTCTCTGGGCACGGACTGAACTTGTAAACCAGGTTAGTGACTCACATTTATAATCTTCCTCCGTAAGATTTACGTGGTCACTAACCTGTGTTTCCTCTCTGCAGGAAACACTTTTATTAAGTATTCCCTACTGGGTCCTCTGTTCTCAGCCTTGACAGTGATGATCATGTAATTTTATTTCTCAAAATATTTTTTTCTTTTGGTTTTCACCTGGAAAACAGACTTGAGTGGACATTCAACTGTGAAGCTGTCTACAAGAAGGGAGGTAGCAGACTGTGCTTTTTAATGAAGCTCATGTCCTTCAGTGCTTGCAAGAAGGTGCTGCAGATCATCATTAGATCTTTTCTGGAATGTGTGATCTCTTTAGCCATAAGCTGCTAGGTGGTAGCATCATAGTAAATATCATGAAGAACTTTACCAAGCTAATGAACTCATTTCTCTGTTTGACCTTGTTGAAATCTGATGTCAGTGATGTAACGGAAGCAACTCCCATCTGAATTCATCCCCCTGTGACGGAGTTTATTCAAAGAGCCAGCTCCTATTATATTTCCTGTTGCCAGTGGCCGAGTAAGGCTAGACACACCTGTTCTCAGCTGAAAGTTACGCTAAGTAGCAACCGATCCATCTTTGCTTGCTGATCAAGACAGGATACCTTTTTTACAATTCATAAGGGGCAGTTGGTAGTGACCATCTTTTCTTATGATTTATACCAAGTTGAACACATTGTTTCGTTAACCGGACTAAGCAACCTGTCTGAAGAGCCTAAAAGCCTAAAAAAAGCCAATTCATGTCTGGCTACTTTGTAGCACCCATGTTGTGAGCTCTAAATTTTCCCTTGTTTCAGCTTTACCTGCACAAACTATATCTCCTGGGACCAGCTAAACTTACCCATTCTCTTTCAGCTTCATTACAGATTAATGCATTTTTGTTCATTTTTCACTGTAAAACCCAATTAAACTCTACTGATTTGACTGCATTCAACATCTTTGCATCAGGGTTCATTCACATTTATCTGCAGCTATTTTTAAAGAACACCTTAACTGCATTAAGCCTTAAAAGTTAAACATACATAAGGCACTCTTGAATACCTTTTGAACCTGTTTTTCCCTATTTATTTACTTGTGCCTATTTTCAGTAGTGTTTAGTTTGCGTAGTTATTAGATATAATAATACTGTGTGATTATTAGCTAATAAAGATAGCATTGTATTTTAAGCAGTTATCTTTTGTGGTTATTTTACACACTGAACGCTTTATCACTCAGGTCAGATCCTTTAAGTAACATCTGAATGAACAGAGACAGATTTCTTTGGTTGGTGATTAATAACTCTGGTGATAGACATAGTCCATATTACTGAATTGGTGAAGACACCTTGAACATAACAGTTAAACAAGGTGTCCAACCTCTTTTGTAATGACTAAGAACCCTGGAGAATTAGCAAATTACAGTTATAGTCATGGAACTAATACTCATTAAGTTGTTTTTACCCTCAATTTGAAAAACCCACTAATTAACTATAACTTCCACATCTAGGTATTTAATAAAATCATAATCTTCTGGTAAACTTTCACAACACTTGTGATATTCAAAAGCTTTTAATTGGAGATGGCTGTGGTGTCAAATTACACTTCCTCCCTCCAAAATCATTTTGTTGATCTGCACCACACTCACCATGGCTAAAATGAGTGTAAGCATTAATAATTTGCGTTTCTGTGGCACCCAAATCGTAGGCGGCCCACATTTAGTGTGTGCCTGGTATTACTGATTACTCGAGTTTCTAAAAATAGAATGGAAGGCAGATCTTTTACTTTTCAAACGTCACTCCTGTGCAACCAACCAACAATTTTAGTCTGTGAGGGATACTATCTAAAATGTCCCTCTTGATAAAGCTTACTGTAAGAGTAACCCTAGCTATCATGAAATATGGCAATGTTTCTATGACCAGGGGTCAGCTACCTGTGACTCCAGAACCTACGACTTGCAGCTCCCTGGAACTTTTTCTAAAATTTATGGAAATTAAAAAAGCTTAATTATTATATATTTTTTTTGGTTTGTTTTAATATGGGCTGCTCAGTGGCACAGTGGGTACCACTGCTGGCTTGGAGCAATAAGCTTCCGGGTTCCATTCCCAATCCAGGTTCTTTCTGCAAGGAGTTTGCATGTCCAAAAACATAACGTTTGGTTTACTGGCTTCTCTAAATTCTCCTTAGTTGTGAGTGTTTGCATGAATGGTTGTTTATCCTGTTTGTCTCTGTTTTGCCCTGCGATGGACTGGCCACCGGACCAGGGTGTACCACAGCCCCTTAACCGTAGACACCTGGAAATAGGTACCAGCACCCCACGTGATCCCGCTTGGGATAAGTGTGATGGATGGATGGATGGATGGATGGATGGATGGATGGATGGATGGATGGATGGATGGATGGATGGATGGATGGATGGATGGATGGATGGATGGATGGATGGATGGATGGATGGATCAATGTTTTAATATGGAGGAAAGGAGGTCAAACAAACATTCATTTTGTTTTCCTATGTGGGAAGAAATGTGTATAATAAATACATTTAAACAATAAATGTAAACATTTATGTCGAAAAAGATTTGCGTTATAGCCTGCAACACATGATTTGGTGCAACTGCGGATGTGTCTTGGATCATGGTCCCAAAGTTAAAAAAGGAAGATACAGGGCTGTTAATCTCACCCATTGGGTGTGAGATTTAAGCATCTCAGAGTCTTCCCACGCTCTCTCTCCATATCCCCAAATTTTCTGGCAAATAAATGACGGACATTAAAACTCAACTCCATTCCACTTATTTATATCTAAAATTACCATGCTGATAAAAATACAGTCCGTGTTTTTAATACAACATTAATACTAGCACATGAGGACATGCCAGGCTGATACCTAGTGTGTATTTTTTCACCAGCCCAACTATACACTGTGATGACAGCAGCTGATATAAAAAAGACCGGGATTTCTAAGCAGTTACTACTGCTAAATTTTTGTATTATCTCACCTGAACAAAGATAATTCTCTTTGTCAATGATTGAAGATTTTAAGCAATCCAGCACTTGAGCAAATATATATAATTTATCAATGTGGAGACTGAGTGTAGGATGACATCAAATGGTATGGTTTTTCTTTACCTGGGGCTTGTTTTTAGTCCCAGTTTGAGTCCATGTTTCGCTCACAAATAAAATAATTATTGCTCAAGCTAGTTGAATAATCTCCCATTGGAATTTAGGAGGTTCACAAAAAGATAAAAGAACCTTTCAAAAGATCAGCCACCCAAGAAAGGAGTACCACATACAGAGTGCAGAACAACTCACTCATCCAGCATTGATAGAGGAGGAACGAGAGGGATGTTCTCATTTTATTATTACTTATCTTATTCATTTATCCTTATTTTGGTCCATTGAATATGTTTAAAAACTTTTCTTTTTTCTTCTTAAATTTCTATCACACCTTCCAGAATGAAGCATCCAAAGAAGAGCTGTCTTGTGCCATGGTAAGTTTTAATAAAATATACAACCTCCTACAAGGTCTGAATTGTTTAGCTGTTTTGTCAATTGTAAAAAAAAAAACAAAAAAAACAAAAAACTAATAACATAATGAGTGAAGGTTTTTAATCATTAGCCTATTACTAAATAGTCATACACATTGTAGTTTGCAATGGAGTCGATTGCACTGGTATATGCATTAGTGCCAGTAATCCAGTACTAGCTTAATAGTTCCCCATTTTATATTTTACATGAACTGTACACAATAATAAATTAACAAAATTTTGAAATTCTTAGTTTACAGTATATTTAAGAAGCAAATATTTTACCAGGACCCATTATTCTTAAATTCTCTGAAAAACACCAGAATATAGAAAATAATTTATATTGTGAAAAAATGTTTCCACATAACTACAGATAACTTATTGTTACTCAGTAAAATCTCCTGTTCTATCTAAAATTCCACGCTTTGCCTCTCCAAGGTTTGATGAAAAGATGGCAGCCCTGAAGATAGCTGATCAGAACAGAGGTTTCAAAGAAGATGGACCGAATCATTTGCTTTCATTACCAACGCAGAAGGATTTCCTGCATGTCTGCTTTGTAATGAGAAGTTGTCAAATGCAAAGGCATTTCCACAGAAGGACTTGGCTGACCACTAAGTTGGGAGTGAAAGAAAAACTGTGATTGCAGCACTTCTGGATAAATTAAAGGGGTGCAAAGATACATTTAAGAAGTGGATTGCATCTCCAAACTCCACTACGGCTGCTATTTCTTTTGTTTTGCAAGCATGGTTCACTCTGTTCATAGAAAGAGCAGGTATAGTGCTCTTATGCAGGTATGTTAACTTTCTTCCATTTTTTTCCCCAAATACTTAAAATAAGAATTACACCAAAAACATAATTCTTCATTGTGTTTCTATAATTTCATTAATGCAATAAATAAATAAAAAAAAAACAATACATTATTGTGCAATGGAATTTGAACTTAAAGCACCAAATATTGTAGTCACATGATGTGACATTTGCTCCAGGATAAACATTTAATAATGAATGCCTATTACTTTTTTGAGGCTCCATACAGATTTTTTTTTTTTGGTCCAATATGGCTCTTGTTTGGGTTGCCGACCCCTGCTATAGACATACCAAACATCTTAGCATGTGAATCCCCTCTAATGTCTTGATTGAGGTCTCTTATCCCACCCCTTGAAAGCTGAGATAATGGAATATCTTACTTAATTTTTTTCCCATATTTGTAATGTGTTTGTAAAAATCAAGAAAAAATTGTTTGCTCTTTAAGGTTAAGCATTAATTAAATATTTCAGAAAAAGGAACAGTTTTTCTGTTTTTTGTGACTCATTTACAGTCATTGATTTTAAATAATATTTTGTAAAACAAACAACCAAGAGATGTGAATTGATTAACTCACCTTCATGATATTAGCTGTCCTGTAGTACAAGTTGCACTGTAGGAATGAAAAATGTCAGCTTGAGTTTTTTAGATTTCTGCTACAGCAATAAATTAATAATTTACTAAAACTGTTGTGGGCGGAGGGGCGGACGGACAGACGGACCGACAAACAGATAGATCGATAGATAGATAGATAGATAGATAGATAGATAGATAGATAGATAGATAGATAGATAGATAGATAGATAGATAGATAGATAGATAGATAGATAGATAGATAGATAGATAGATAGATAGATAGATAGATAGATAGATAGATAGATAGATAGATAGATAGATAGATAGATAGATAGATAGATAGATAGATAGATAGATAGATAGATAGATAGATAGATAGATAGATAGATAGATAGATAGATAGATAGATAGATAGATAGATAGATAGATAGATAGATAGATAGATAGATAGATAGATAGACAGATAGAAATACTAAGAATCACAGACATAACTTTCTGGCTATCATAACTGCTCAATATTTCCTTTAGACCTTCAGCGGGAGGAGACTCAGCACAGAACAGAGAAAATGTTTAATGCAATGTTTTAGGCATTTTAAGCTGTTATGTCTGTTTAAGGTTGTTCCACATAATCTGCAGGTACACACTGAAGTTCACCAGCTGAATTTGTTGCTCATAGCTATGATGATTAGCTCCAGATAGAACTGATTATCTAGCTAATAAAGATGTTAGCAAAAAGTTTTTTGTTTTTGTTTTTTTATTCAATCAGAGGTCCCCCAGCTGCGTGTTCTCCTCTGGTCATCAAGTAAAAATCAAATATGGACACTGGTTCCCAATGTCCAAAAAGCATGGTCATAATATATGGCGCAACACTTCCCAGATCTTCTCAGGAAGCACCTGCCAGGCATGCAGACAATCCCATAGACATAAGAGTAGACCTAGACACATTGACTGTTAAGGTGCAGAAAGCTGGTCAGACAAAGGATGCTTCAGCACTGTGTGTCTCTAGAACATGTGCGTCAATACATCGACCTAAGGGCTCGAGAGATAATTTTATATATATAGATATAGATATATATATATATATATATAGATTTTTTTTTTCTTTTTAATATATATTTAGGTTTGTACTAAGCCTTATTCAGTCTTTAATTTTTAGAGCTACCTTTTATTACTAATAAACTGTATGCATTTTGAGGGCCATATCTAGTAAATTTGCACATCTACCAGTTTAATTACTTAAACATTCTTCTTTGCAAAACAGCAAAAGTTTAGCTAACCTGGAGGGCCAGATTGATAACGCAAAGCACTCAGCTTTATTACTGCCGACAGCTGATTGGGAGATCATCAATCAACACCTACATGTACAGTAGTAGCCATTCAAAAATTCCCCCTCTTTCCCTGATGGGTCCTTTTTAAACTTCAATCTTTGTACTAAAATATTTTTTTCTGTCATGATTTGTGGACATTAACATATAAAGAGAAAGAGTTATCTTCTGGTCAGAAGATATGCACAGCCTGCCACAGCCTACCATCTTCACAGACATAAATCATCCGGCAAGTAAGACTAAATCTCAAGTAAGACTAAATCTCAAACGTATACATGCACATTCAAGATATACAGGTGCTGGTCATAAAATTAGAATATCATGAAAAAGTAGATTGATTTCAGTAATTCCATTTAAAAAGTGAAACTTGTATATTATATTCATACATTACATACAAACTCATATATTTCAGATGTTTATTTTGTTTAATTTTGATGATTACAAATGACAACAAATGAAAATATCAAATTCATCATATCAGAAAATTAGAATATTGTGAAAAGGTTCAAAATTGATGGCCCCTGGTGCCACACTCTAATCAGCTAATTAACTCAAACCACCTGCAAAAGCCTTTAAATGGTCTTTCAGTCTAGTTCTATAGGCTACACAATCATGGGGAAGACTGCTGACTTGACAGTTGTCCAAAAGACGACCATCGACACCTTGCACAAGGAGGGCAAGACACAAAAGGTCATCGCTAAAGAGGCTGGCTGTTCACAGAGCTCAGTGTCCAAGCACATTAATAGAGAGGCGAAGGGAAGGAAAAGATGTGGTCGAAAAAAGTGTACAAGCAAGAGAGATAACCGCACCCTGGAGAGGATTGTGAAACAAAACCCATTCAAAAATGTGGGGGAGATTCACAAAGAGTGGACTGCAGCTGGAGTGAGTGCTTCAAGAACCACCACACACAGACGTATGAAAGACATGGGTTTCTGCTGTCGCATTCCTTGTGTCAAGCCACTCTTGAACCACAGACAGCGTCAGAAGCGTCTTGCCTGGGCTAAAGAGAAACAGGACTGGACTGCTGGTGAGTGGTCCAAAGTCATGTTCTCTGATGAAAGTAAATTTTGCATTTCCTTTGGAAATCAAGGTCCCAGAGTCTGGAGGAAAAGAAGAGAGGCACTTCATCCACGTTGCTTGAAGTCCAGTGTAAAGTTTCCACAGTCAGTGATGGTTTGGGGTGCCATGTCATCTGCTGGTGTTGGTCCATTGTGTTTTCTGAGGTCCAGGGTCAACGCAGCCACATACCAGGAAGTTTTAGAGCACTTCATGCTTCCTGCAGCTGACCAACTTTTTGGAGATGCAGATTTCATTTTCCAACAGGACTTGGCACCTGCACACAGTGCCAAAGCTACCAGTACCTGGTTGAAGGACCATGGTATCCCTGTTCTTAATTGGCCAGCAAACTCTCCTGACCTTAACCCCATAGAAAATCTATGGGGTATTGTGAAGAAGAAGATGCAATACACCAGACCCAACAATTCAGAAGAGCTAAAAGCCAGTATTAGAGCAACCTGGGCTATCATAACACCTGAGCAGTGCCACAGACTGATCGACTCCATGCCACGCCGCATTGCTGCAGTAATACAGGCCAAAGGAGGCCCAACTAAATACTGAGTGCTGTACATGCTCATACTTTTCATGTTCATACTTTTCAGTTGGCCAACATTTCTATAAATCCTTTGTTTTTATTGGTCTTCAGTAATATTCTAATTTTCTGATATGATGAATTTGAGATTTTCATTTGTTGTCATTTGTAATCATCAAAATTAAACAAAATAAACATCTGAAATATATGAGTTTGTATATAATGTATGAATATAATATACAAGTTTCACTTTTTAAATGGAATTACTGAAATCAATCTACTTTTTCATGATATTCTAATTTTATGACCAGCACCTGTACACCAATGAATAGTACAAAAAATCCTTCTAACTTTAGTTTCTTCTCTTTGTTTTGTATACTCTATAGGCCAGAGGACAGTCTGTGTCACTGAATATCTTCTACTCTAAGGTTATTCAACTATATAGGCAGAAAGGCAGAATTGTTTGTGAATGTTTCCAGTGTAATTTGCTGCCCCCTGCTGTTCAGTTCTGGTATAAATAAAGATCCTTGGAGACAAAAAGGATTTTTCAGTTTTGTTTTATTTATTTCCCATTGAGAGCATGATAAGTTTGCTTGTAAATATATGATTATATCTATATCATTAATCAGGTGGGATAGCATAACAGGCAGCTTAAGCTGCAGTTCAGGAGAGGGAAAACTGCATATTCATTTAACTACTAAAAAGAAAGACAAGATTATGTAGAACAACCTTAAGACAGTCTAAAGAAAACTGTGAGAGTAAGAGAACACATTGATTTCTGTCAAATATTTACAGTATAGCACATGGTCCACCCTCCGTCTTGCACTGATGCTCAGCTTCTCTTCTGGCTTTTTCTTCATAGTAGGCTTGCAGTCTCTCTTCCTGCTGTCTTAATTCTCTTTCTCTCTGTCCATTCATCATATCCATCATGGCTTTCATCTCTGTTTGTTTCTCCTCTTTCTCTCTTTGTCTCTCTTCCTTTAGCCACTCAAATGACTTCCTCTGCTGCTCATCTAGCTCCTGTCTGGCCATCCTTCTTTCTTCCTCTCTTTCCTTCCTCTCTCTCTCTCTCTCAGCTCTAAGAAGCTCATTCATTTTCTGCATCTCTCTCTGATACTTTGCCTGAATTTCTCTCTCTAGTTTTTCTCTCTCTTTCCGCATCTGCTCTTCTTTCTCCCTCAGCAGGCGTTGTTTCCTCTCTACGATTTCTCTCTCAGCCTTTTGGAACATCTCATTGGTGTAGTGACTTCCTCCATTTTTATGTACAATGTGTTTTATCTTCTGGAGCAGTTCAGTGACCTGAGGCTTTTTATCACTCTGATTGTTGTTGAACACATGATACTGGCCGTTACATCTTTTTACAAGTTCCTGTAGTTCTGAGCTTTCTTCCAAGAACTCTTCTATAGTGGTGTCTTGAAGCAGGTCTCCATGAGTAAAGAGAACCATGCTGTATTTATCAGCATCCTTTCCAAAGATTTCTTGAATCTTTTGGACTGATTTCTTTTCCTCTTCAGTGAACCTGTTCAGTGCAATGACCACCAGGAAGATGTGGGGTCCAGGAGCAGCAAAAGGAATGCAGAGGCTGAAATCTTTCACTGTTTTTTCCTCATTAAACCTGGTGTCAGACAGGCCAGGTGTGTCAATAACAGCGATCTGGTTTCCATCAACAGCTGTGTTACATTTGGAACAATTCACAGTCAGTGATCTGGGGCTGCATTTCGACTCAAAGCACCGTCGCCCTAAAATGGTGTTTCCAGAGGCACTCTTCCCACTTCCAGTCTTCCCCACTAAAACAATCCTCAGCTCTTTGTTGTTGGATAAGTTTGTAGCTGTAAAGAATAAAATAAATTTGTCTGGTTATACTGAAATGTAGAAATACAAACATGAAGTTCATGTTCAGGTTCACATCTAGGATGTTTTAGGCTGAAAAGAGGAAAGGCTAAAACATATTTATATTCAATTGTATAAATAAATATATAAAAAAACTGAAACTCTGATACAACTTCTATAATGCTTCAAGCTTAAAAGAGGGAGATACCAAAATACTGTATGTTTATGTTCTATTAGAATATGAAGACAAACTGTGTATATTTCCTGACTTACCAGAGTGTTTGGCTTTGTTTGAGCTGAAGTCCAGCTTCTCCATGATCAGGCTGAAGAGAGCAGGGAGGATGCTGAGATGAAGCAGTAGTGAATACTATGAAAGCAGCCTGCTCCTTTTATAGACCAGTTTGTCAAAATGAAACTGAAACTTCTTCTTTTTGTGCTGCAGTAACTGAAACCCTCAAGGGGAAAAAAAACCCTGTACACTGATATTCCACTGCTGTTATGGGGAGTAGACCTGTGAACAAAGATTAACTGGTTTTTATTTCTGCATTGCCAAATGAGGCATCATCTTTGACTTTTGCTTTCTTTTAAGAAAACTTGTTTTTGGTTGGTCTATGTGTTTTTCCTCTCAAGGCTTCTAATGAATCTTTAAAGCTTAATATTTTGTATTTTAAATACTTGGTTGCCATAGTTTTTCCATGAGAGTGATGGCTGCTTTTCTTCAGCTTGTTCTATATGCTCAAACTCATATATATTCATGCAAAAGATTAGTCTTAATATTTGCTCTGCAAATATTCTGCTTAAAATATTTTTTAATGAAAGTAATGGTTTCTGTCAATTAGGGCTCAGAGAAATCTGAACAACAATGCAACTCCTTTTTGGGCTCCACCTTCAAATTTGTCCTACCCTTAGATCAAAGCTGGGATTCTCCTTACTCTAACGTCAGCATTTACAAGAAATGGCACCTCTTAGAGAAACTGAAAACACAGGAAGGCTATTTGGTTGTTTATAAAAAATGCTGAAAAGGAAAGCGAAAGGAAAACGAAGCTACTTAGTGGATGGATAAACACTGAGCACTTAGTTCTGCAAATCGTTTCAGTCCTATTAATAATAAAGAGACCAAATATCCCATCAAAGACATAAGATCACCAAGTTTTTTTTTTTTTTTTTTAGTTCCTGCCTCATTCCCAGACAAGAGCCTATGCTTATGTTTACATGGATAACATTCATGTATTTCTATTGACATAAATCATCATTTCATACTAGAAAGACAAGACAAACTTTTTTTTTCTAATTTAAAAAAAAAAAAAATTCTATCTTGTACTTTTCCAAACAGTTTTCCACCATGTGACTAACAAAAAGTGATGCATTCTTGTTTTTATCCAATTTTAATCCATTTACTCCTTTATAATAACTTTAACCATGGAGAAAAACCATGGTTTCTTTTCATTTCCATAATGACAACATTTCAGATCCTAAGCAAACCACCAGGCCAGGATAGAGCCGCTAATGTCAGTTCTCCTAAATTATATCACATTCCCAACTAAGCCGTTTGTAAAGACAAGTTGTAGAAGTTAATTTTTACCCTTAAAGGCAGTTTCAAACATAAACAACAGGATCTTAGCAAATTTGCAGTACATTGTCAAAATACTGCCCTATAACAAGTAAGCTGGAAAACATCTCTAAACGGTTATTCAGCAAAAAGACTGCATTTAGGTTTAAGTAGTCTTTTAACAACAGCAGAACATGTGACATTCTGAAATGATGTTAAAATACTGCTAAAGTCATTAGCAAAACTGATAAACTATCGTCTACGTAAGGGTCCTGTGGGGGTTTCTTTCCCAGCATGATCTTTTGTTTTTCTCTCTCTCTTCTGCAGGTGGCTGCCTATTAGTGGGGAAGTCCGCAGGTGTTTTGTTGTTTTGTGGTGGCGGGGATGTCTTGAAGGCGGCTGGCTGTCAACACTTTGACGCCAGACTGTAAGCCATATGTGGTAAGAACCCGGCCAGCGTCTCACGTGTTTTTTCCCCACGCTAAACCTGTCTCCTGTGCCCTAGGTTGTTTGGCTCTGAATCCGACTTCGAAGTACCTTCATCGCAGACCTCTCTTGAGCCAATCACCCTCTGATCAGCATCAACTCAAAGATATTCAAGCCGTCATGCCAGTGCTAAATCAGCGTGACGCCCTGCTGGCTGTGACTTGCTGCTGCCCTGCAGACCAATCGGCCAAGCCCTGCCTAACCCTCCACCAACCAGCATTTTCTTACTTGGCAGCCACCTTACCAGCTGCAAACTAATGCATTCCTGACTTGCGAACCCCCCGCAGTACTGCTCCCTCTCTCCGGTCGATCGTACCTGTACGATTTTTTTCAATTGTTGCACCCAGCAACAGCTCACACTGCAAGATGAAACTGCAGGGTTTAAAAGTTCACAGCTTATGATGTATGTTCTTACACTGTGCAGCCCGAGGCCGATAACCTGCTCACAATGAATGTTTAAAAACCATGTCGGACTCAGATCTGCAGTAAGATAGCGCCACTCAGAAACGTCTATCCGGAAACCAAGCAAGTAAAAGAGGAGAAAGACGAAGTGTTGATACCTCCTATTAAATATGAAACTTGCTGAAGTGAAACGTGCTGCCCTGGCAATTTGTTCAATTTTGTGTGCTGAAAACACTAAAAAGAAACGGCGACAACGTATTTGGATAAAGACATAGCTAAACAAATGGCTACTATAGTCTGTCAATTTTACAGAAATAACTCCATTTCACTCGCAGCCCCTCCATGGTTCTGTGTTTTCATTTGAAAGAAAGATGAAGAACAATCCTTGTTTGCCCACTGAGCGGTTTGCCTATGAACACCTCACTAGGGCCGACTGAATTTCAAACATGTTTGATTTTTTTCCAAAATTATGATTCTAGATCGGGGATTGATCGTAAGATGCTGATATCCCCATGTTAGCTGCTGTACACTACACAACGCGCACAAGATCAGTCTGAAAGTCGGCCCGATCTAAAAATTATCGTACGATTAGATAATCGGCCGGAAAAGAGCAAAAAAAAAAACATTCATTGTGTGCCCAGCTTTAGCGTTTTAGCATTGTTGCTCTCCTCATTCACAGACTCCCATTAACTGTTGCTCTCTGTTGCAGCGTGTCTCACACTCCCTTCATTCTGCATATTGCTTTTTGTTGTTTTCTTTAATAAACAATCCTAAATATAAATGTTTCCCACCGCATGCATGAAGCTGTTGCAGAGCTCCTTCTGTGACAGACTGCTGCACCCTAAATAAATCAGGGAGCATTATCACAGATATCGAAACTTTATTCTCCAGGTGTACAGTATTTATATTGTTAAAACAATTCACAGTACAGTATTTCTTTTGCTTTTTTTTTTAAACTTCATTATTATGTTATTTTTATACACTTTTCTAAGGTCCACATTTTTGTGACACTTTTTTCTATAATCGTTTTTGCTGCTGCTGTAAACACCACAATTTCCCCAGTGTGTGACAATAAAGGGACTTTTTCATTCTATTGTATTTTATTCTATTCTATTCTAAGTCTTTCCTATCTGTCTCCTTGGTCTGCTCTGCATGTGGGTCAGAAAACTAGGAACCATGACAGTCTATATTCCCTCAAAAAAGTTTATTATACACAACTTTTTTGCAAAATATGTAATCAAATTGATTAGGTTGCATTTTCCATGCAGGTTAGTCACATAGGAATTGAAGTGCTCTTAAAAAAAACTAATCACAACAGAAAAATGTGAAATTGAAATTTAAGTCAAATTAAAAATACAATTTATCCAGAAGGGAAATACAATTTTGCAGTAACCCATAAGTATTTTTTTTAATAAGATGGTGTAGGTGTTGATGGCTATGGTGACGAGGTATCTTCTGAAGAGCATGCTAACTGTTGTCCATAATGTTCTTCACTTTATGAAGAATTCTTCTTTGTGAAATAATTTCAAGAGGATCCTAAAACAGAGCTGGTCTTCTTTATTAGCTTATTGAGCTTATTTTTAATTTATTTGCTCTTAAGCTGTTATCTCTCCAAATGATGGAGAGATCACACTCTCCACTGTAAACTTATAGAAGATATGTAGCATCTTGTTGCAAATGCTGAAGGACCTAAGAACGCCTAGGGAGTACGCTCTGCACTGTTCTTTCTTGTAGATGGCTGCAGAGTTGTGTCTCCGGGCTAGTTCATTGCTAAAGTGAACATCAAAGTATTTATGCCTGTTAAAGATAGGCTTTGTGTTTACATTTTGACGCTCTATCTCTCCAGTTCTTTTCCCTGAAAAGAGATCACACGGGACAAACTCTTTACATAACACTTCATAACTTATATGTATTAAATTAGCAGGAGACATGACGACAGATCCTGATAGAAATTGTAATCTTACTCAGATCAGAGAAATTGCTTAGAATGTACAGAATGCAGCTGCTCACCTCTGGGCTCACCTCTCAGGAAGTGGCCCAGATTAACAGTTAAAAAGGCATTTTATGCAACACCAGTCTGCCACATCATCTTATTTTATATTATACACAGCAGATGATTAGACATCCATGGCTCCAGCCTTATCAGAATATCAAACTTTGTTCTTAGCTGAAGGACACCACTCTCATTCCATTTCCAAATCTTTGCCATGTACATAATAAAGATTATGATTGTGTATTGAAGATATATATACATGTTTTAAGCTAAAAGAAGTAAGGAGCTAAATTAAAGTTGCAGCAAAACTTATTGTTCATATTGAAGAAGTATATGCCATGTATAATGTAAAGATGGGCAGCAAATTTACTATTCACAGGTGTTAGGCCAAACCTCGCAGAGGGGAGGATGAAATCTGCAGATGGGAAGGCTGAGAATGACCTCGCTCCGACACAAACACACAGAAAAAGCTGATTAACAGGGGAGCAGAAAGGCAGGAAGCAGCTCCATAAATGGAGATAGGAATGTAGGGAGTATGATCATTCTGTGGGACTGTCTGTGTGAAACTGTAAGATGTTTCCCTATGAAGATAATAAAATAGCCGGTGTTGCAGGGGGGGGTCAGAGTTGCTGTTCGCAGATGCATGCTGCTGATGCTCCTCTCCCTTTGCTAAGTTAAGTTAAGTTATCTGCACTCGAATTAACGGACCTGGGGGAAAACCACTGACCGTGTTTTTCAACAGTATCCAGACAGAGGTACTGTCCTAATTAGATTAACTATTGTGGAAAAAATCAGTTCTGACAGGCAACAAGCAACCAATACCAAGGTGTAATAAACTCACACATCTTCAATGATAATTATCCTAAGGTGCCCCTCCACCACCTCC